CCCACAGCCAGGCTAGGAAATGCATATGCAGACAACAGATGTGCTCACTCAGAAATAAAGTGGGGGAAACAAGCCCCTGCTCATGCACACCTCTGTGTGCATAAGGATCAGGCGGCGCGTGATGGGACAGTGCCTGGCACTTCACTTCCAACCTTGGGGAGCATCAGGCCTTCAGCTGCTTTCCAATCACACACTCCCCCTTCTTTGGCGGGCGGGGGGGGGCTATGTCACCTGTGAGCTGCCCTGGCTCCTCTTCCAGGGTTTCTGGTGATAGCAGGAGGTTTGGGGTGGGGGAGGGTGAAGATCACAAGGGCTGGAGCAGGCTCTTGCACACACCTGGGGAGCCAGAAGTGATGCTGGGCCAAGGCTTTGCACGCATACATACTGATGAGGAAGATTAGCATCATGTACCAAAAATGTTCCCTTTCTCACTGCTGGGGACCTGAGGATCCCAAGGATAGTCTGCAGGGGAGAAGCAGCATCCTGTGGCTCAGTGAGCCCTGCCAGCTCAAGAAATAGGGCAGGGTGTCACAGAGGGGCTGGACTTCAGCTGCCCTGGCTCCAGCCTGCTGTAACATGTGGCCTGGGTCAGCTTGCTGACAGCCACAGCCCAGCCAGCTGAGCCCTGGGGTCTCACCTTGACTGCCCATGCTCCCCTCCATAAGTTGCCTTTGCCACCCATGTTTATGAGCAGATACCCCAAGACTTGACAACAGGAGGCTTGTACCTCTTCATCCCATGCAGCTCCATCAGGATTTATCTATAACAGGATTTATCAACGTGCCAAAAAAAACTGATTAAGCCCTTTGATTCTTAATTTTGGTGGCACAGTGACAAGGCTTCCCATGGAGGAATGTAGAGGGTGGGGGCAGCCATGGGATTGCATTTTGCCCTCCGCTGTTTTGGTGGGTATGGGCAAGCACCATCATGGTGTTCACATGGGGACATCTCCCATCACCTCCTCCTAACCCCTCAAGGCATCACTCATGCTTTCCTTGTGTCCATCAGCCCGGCTGGGCTTTTTTTCTCCTGTTTTTGAGGGGTTCCCCCCTGCACTCCACACGTGCTCGTGTCTGTATGCTCAGGGGCCTCTTGGCATGCGGAGCGGTGGGGTCCAGGTGCTCCTTTCCCTTGCTTTTAATTACTGCTGCAAATGGAAATGGTTTGGGAGCAGTTTTGGAGGGGGGAGGGGCTGTGCTGGGGTGCAGATGCCCTCCTTGTCCCCATCGTCTCTTGCAGGGGAGCTGAGGAAGAGGGGGGACAGCCCAACGGGCCCTACAAGGGACCCGGCCTCGGCAGGGCTGTAACAACCTGTTTGCTTCCCAGCCTGCAAGTGGCTCTGCAGGCCCGGCTGTGCCAATGTGGCTGGTGACCCATCTGCTGGCAGGAAACCCACAGTAAGGACATGGAAACAGGAGTGAGCCAGCTGCCTCCTTCCTGCCTCCCTCTTCACCAGGTCAGGGATGGAGAGCCCCAAATTGTGACAGCCCTGAACGAGATCTGGGGGGACAAGAATGTACAGCTCCCCAGTTCAGGCAGTCCCTCTTGGAGTTTAATGACCCCCGAGCTCCTGTCTGGGTCCAAAAGGGTCCAAGAAAGTAGGAGGCTCCAAAAAACCCATGCGCAGCAGGTGTGCCACCCTGGTGCAGTGAGCATCCTGTGGCAGCGGCCATGGAGGAGCTATGGGCAGGCTGGAAGGGTCTGTGTGTCCCGGGAAGGGAACAGGGCTGCTGTGTGCACACATCCAGCTCAGCATGATGATCCATGATGGGACTATCAACCCATGGGCATGGTCTTGTGGTCCTGCCCACCCTGTTGCAGCAGCTAAGGTGGGCACTTGCATGCCAGTGGCCGAGGGGGAGTGGTGGGATCCAGATTTGCTGGTGCATTAGTAAATGAGGCTCTGATCTCCTTACATAAAGTGAATTTGCCAGCCAAGGGCTACAGCCCCAAAGAGCACTTGCCAACGTGGCTGCTCCAGCCCCCCGCCTCCTCCTCCCCCCCACCC